CTTCAACCCACTGCGCCACAGCACCAGCCCCAGTGTCACATTATTTTTAAGAGTCTTTAATAAAATTGAGACTCTGAACTATGCAGAGAAGTTTCTGCAAGAATTCTCAGAAGCCATATTATGTTTATACACATTTTAAGTCTCCAATGAAGAGATGTTATGGTCTTGGTGCCTGAACCTTATTTTCAAAAGGAAATGAGGGCACAGGTATTGTGACAAGAGGGTTAAGCTGCCTCTTGGGATGCCAGCAGCATCCTCTATCACAGTTCAAGTCCTGTCTACTCTGTTTCTGATCCAGCTTCCTGCTGATACATCTTGGAAGGTAGTAAGTGGTGGACCAAGTACTTGGGTTCCTGCTGCCCACATGGGAGACCTGGGTGGAGTTCCTGGCTCCTGGCTTAAGTCTGGCATAGTCCTGGTTGTTGCAGGCACTTGGGGAGTAAACCAGTGGGAGGGAGTTTCTCTCGCTCTCTCATTCTCTGTCTTTCAAGAAGATAAAAATAAGCATTTAGTAAAAATAAAAGAGAGAGCCTTAGGCAGAGGCCTTAAGTACTATCACTGTATTAAGTGTATAATCCCAAGCAGTAGGCCAAAGGAAAGGAGCAGGGGAGCAGAGAAAGAAAAGAGGGAGAAATGACTGCATTTCCAGGCTGGCTGCCACCAGCCAGGGCTGCTGCTGGCCTGTAAACCCTGGATTCCTTATTGGTTTTCTACCTGGATGATCTGCTCATTGCTGAAAGTGGAGTGCTGAAGGCTTTTGGCCATTGTGACAGAAAAAGAAGAAAATGTGAGCCAGCGCCGTGGCTCAATAGGCTAATCCTCCACCTTGCGGCGCCGGCACACCGGGTTCTAGTCCCGGTTGGGGCACTGGATTCTGTCCCGGTTGCCCCTCTTCCAGGCCAGCTCTCTGCTATGGCCAGGGAGTGCAGTGGAGGATGGCCCAGGTGCTTGGGCCCTGCACCCCATGGGAGACCAGGAAAAGCACCTGGATCCTGGCTCCTGCCATCGGATCAGCATGGTGCACCGGCTGCAGTGGCGGCCATTGGAGGGTGAACCAACGGCAAAGGAAGACCTTTCTCTCTCTGTCTCTCTCTCTCACTGTCCACTCTGCCTATCAAAAATAAAAAAAAAAAATAAAAAAAATAAAAAAAAGAAAAAGAAGAAAATGTGTCCATCAATTTGTAGGGGCTCAGAGTAGGTGCCCATGGTGACAGCAGGCAAAGTCAGACACCTGTGCACCTGCCTGCAGGTGTAGCCCATGCAGAGGTGTCACCAGAGGTGCAGCCCAGGACAAGAGAAGGGCGATGACACAGAAAAGATCTGAAGTGGTGCACACAGTTCTGATGCCAGTGAACACAGAATGTTGAGCTTCCTAAAGCTACTTGTGATACAGATGAGGCAGGGAGCCAGTGAGGAACAAAGGAGCTAAGAAGTTTCCAGCAGTCTCTGTCTCATTGCCTGGATCCTAACTCCCTCCTCCTTGCAGGCCAATTTAATTGATGCACCTGAGCCTCCTGTATCATAAAGATGCCATTATGAATGTGAGTACACTGGGCTCCACGTGGAGATGCCAAGAAAGCCTTCCCAGGAATCATCACATGCACTGAACCCTGCTCAAGCTCCACCCCATTTGTATATTCAGTTAGGTCACCACCCCTATCCAATAAAAGAGACCACTGAACTGGGCTACAAATGCTGCTCCTTGTAGTGTGTGCCTCTCCTCATGGGACTACCCATGTTAACTTTCAAATGTTCTCTCTCTAAATAAATCCTCCTTCCATTTTTGCACTCAATATATGACTCTACTTTGAATTTTATCTCACATGGAGATAAGAACCTGGAGTAAATACAGCTGGGGACCTTCCCCACCCCACCCTGCCTACAGCAGTTGGAGTCTTTTTTTTCTTTTTTTAAAAATTTATTTATTTATTTGAAAGACAGTGACAGAGTGAGGGGGAAAGACAGAAGGATCTTCCACACTCGTGCACTCCCCAAATGCTCTCAGCCACTGAAGCTAGGCCTGGCCTGCCTCAAGCCAGGAGCCTGGAATTCCATCCGGGTCTCCCATGTGAGCACAAGGGCCCTAGTACTTGAACCATCTTCTGCTGCTTTCCCAGGTGTGTTAGCAGGAAGCTGTACGAGAAGCATAGCATCTGGGACTCAAACCAGCACTGGGTTATAGGATGCTGGCATCACAATAGGCAGTTTCATCTGCTGCACCACAACACGAAGCCCTGGAGTCCTCTTTTCCATGAGTACCCAACAGATACATCAAAGAGCACCAGTGTCATTCACACTGGTCTACACTGGCCAGGCCACACTTCTATAGCTCCCAACTACCCACATCAGAAAACCTCCCTTCTGACTCCCAGAGCCTCACTGATGTTTCCTAAGTCTCTTCCAAGCCAGGTCTCTCTTCTCAGCAGCAACCCCTACCGAGAGGCAGCTGAGCCTAGCGAAAACAGCACACCTGTGTTAAGGGAGCCCAGTTTGAATGCAGCTCTCCTCAGCAGCTGCGGGATCCTCTGTCAGGTTATCCAAGTTCCACAAGTCTCTGTTTCCTGAACTCTAAAGCAAGCTGACTACACACAGTGCCATGAGGAATCAGAGGTCACCCAGGTAAAGAGTTGCCCACAATACCTACACAGTGCGCTGGAACTGTCCGTTTTATTATGACTGTATTGTCTCATTGTGTTGGCCTTGCATTGAACTCCTCTCTTCCCTCAGCTTTCTGTTATCCCCAAGTTACCCCTTACCCTTGTCTCCATATTTACAAGTCATCTTCTCCTATGGAATGAATTGTGCCCCTCACTCACAAACTCATACATTGGAATCTCAACCTCCAGTAGAACTGCATTTGAAGATAAGGTCTTTATAGAGGTTTTGGTGGCTAAATAAGGTCACAGATACGGGGCCCTGCTCAGATAGGATTAGTGTCCTTAAAAGAAAAGATATCAGAAAGCGTATATTCTATTATTCTATTTCTCTCTCCTTTGCTCACACACATGAAGGAAAAGATATCTGAAGAAAAATGATTCATATAGAAATCTAGATTTACACAAAGGACCAAAAAGCACTGAAAATAGTAACTATGTGGGGAAATACAAAAAACAAGTGTCAACAAACTTTCAAGTATTTAAGTCATACAGAATGTATTCTGTGATTATCATGCCATTAAATTAGCAATCAACAATAAAAAGATATCTGGAACATCACCAAATTTTTGGAATCTAAATAACATACTTCTAAGTAACCCATTGGTCAAAGAATATATCAAAAGGGAAATTATAAGGTATTTTAATGAATTAAAACAAATTAATGGAAAAAGCAACTCACCAAAATTTGTGGAATGCAATGAAAGTTACAAGATGAGGCAGCTATTCCATTCTTCAATATTTACCCCCCGAATATTAAAAGTTTGTGCTGGGGCTGGCGCTGTGGTGCAGCAAGTTAGCGCCCTGTCCTGAAGCACCAGCATCCCAAATGGGTGCCGGTGCTAGTCCCGACTGCTCCACTTCTGATACAGCTCTCTGCTATGGCCTGGGATAGAAGTAGAGGATGGCCCAAGTCCTTGGGCCTCCACACCCAATGTGGGAGACCAGGAAGAAGCTCCTGGCTGCTGGCTTCAGATCAGTGCAACTCCTGCCATTGAGGCCATCTGGGGAGTGAACCAATGGATGGAAGATCTCTATCTCTCTCTCTCTCTCTGTCTCTACCTCTCTCTGTAACTCTTTCAAATAAATAAAATAAATCTTTCTGAGGATTTACTAGGAGTAAATTTTAAATGTTCTCATCACAAAAAAGGCAAGAGCATTGAGATAATTCATGTCAATTGACTCATTTAGCCATTCCAAAATGTGCATGTATTTCAAAATATTGTGCTGTATGTGATAAATACATGTAATTTTTGCCAGTTAAAATACATTCATAAGTAATAAACAGGCCTGATTCAACAGCCTCTCGGAGGTCACCAGACCGTTTTTCTGGCTGAGAAGAGTGGACTCCTGCCTTAGGTAGCACCTCTGCTTGCCTTGGGAAATATCTGAGGTGCCGGTGGGGGTCTCCCCAAGGGTGACCAAGGCATCCGTTTCTGTCTGCAACAATTGGGTCTGCCAGAGGCAGGAGCTGAGGCGGCTCAGTCCGTCTTTGCCATTGTCTAACCGGAAGGAAAGTTTCTTTCCCTCCCCACTGCACTCTGAGCACTCTGCAAGGGCCCGAAGAGCTTCCTTTAACAACTCACACTGAAAGGCAGTCCTGAGCTGGAATTTCACTGAGGGCAGCCCTGGGGGTGGGAGTGGGAGCCAAGAGGTCAGGCTTCCTGACAGGCAGGCGGGCACACCTCGGCCAGTCAGCCCAGTGGTCCCTGGTTCCGGCCCAGTTTCAGCCTGGGGGAGAGCAGCCCTCCAGGTTTTCCCTGAGAGCAGCCTTCCACGTCCACCGGGAGTCCTGGAGGCCTTGGGATGGGCAGGGCAGCCACTGCCTTTGTGCCTGGGCCTGGTGACTGTCCCTTCCGTGCTGCAGCTTGCCCATGCCTCACCCTGACCTGGCCATTCTCTGCAGGACTCTGGTCTCTCGGCACCTGCACTCCACTGTGTCAAATTCTGCAACCCACCATTTTCCCACCTAAGCCAAGGCCCGGGCAGGTGCTGAGGCCGGCAGTCTATGGGGCTCCATTTTGCTTCTCCTTTGGGCTGAAGACTTTTTTTCTTCATCATTTCTTCCCCCAGCCATGGACAGGGTCTCTGGGTCCAGGGACAACAACCACAAGAGAACTCTGGGGCAGCTGTGTCGGTTGCAGCATTCAAGTCGCAAGTACTTGATCCGGCACCTGCAACCTCCCTGGATCCCAAGGGCCGAGCAGCCGGAAGCGCACCTGCACACAGATGTGGGAGGCGGGCAGTGCCCTGCAAGACAATGGCTGCTCCTGGACGCCCACCCCATGGGCAGCGCTCCCCGGCAAGACGCTATGACCCGGAAGTGCTGCTGGCGCGTGACCTCCTGCTCCACCGCGCGCATCGCCTGGGTTCCAGCCTGAGCGTTGAAGATACTGCCAGGAGCCGCCAGGAGCTGGTGTCCGAGGCTGGGAAAGACCCCGCCCAGCCAAGGGTCAGGCCCGTGGCGGCCACGCCGTTTTCGGGGACGTGCTGGTACTCTCTTCATGATTTTCTGCGGGGGCCCTAGCGGTTCTCCACGGCGGCTTCCGTAAGTTTTCACCTCAGGACTTTTAGTTTTGTTCCTGAGAAACGAGTATTTTCCCCCTCCTACAGGGAAGGTTGATGGAGGAAGGAAGGTGTGGACGAGAGGGAAAGAGAGTAGGAGACGGGAGAAGAGAGAGGAAGGAGGAAGGGAGGGAGAGTGAGAAAGAACTTTCCCCGCGGACCCTGTGAACATTTTGTGGCATTTCCTCTTCCCCGAGCCAAAAGTACCCGTGGCGCCTCAGTGAGAAGAGGCCATCACCTTCTCTCTTTTCTGAATCGTACTGAAGTGTGACGTGTGCTGCAGTGTGCTTGCGGAATTCATAGGTGTACAAGCTGATGGACTGTTACAGACCCAGCACACGTGGCACGAGTGTTACGATGAAAGTAAAAACAGAACCGTACTGAAACCCAGGACTCCCTCTTGGGCTGTGTTCCACCACCGCTCTGGTCTACTGATGCTAAGTTTTATTTTTCCCAGATATGTGTGCCTTGCTTTTGTAGGGCAGTGTTATCTTTGTGAGGGTCGTCTGCATTCTTCCGGTGGGTCATGGAAGGCTCGTTCCCGCGGCTCTAGCGTTCCTGCGTCCATGGCCATTGGAGTAGTTCTATCCGCGTTCTATGCAGACCCTCTGTGAATGTCTGCAGCAGATCGCTGATGGCAGCACCGTGTGTCCGCGCAGGCACACGCGTTCCTGTAGGAACTGGAGGGGCTGTGTCACTGAGTGCGCGTGTTCAGCCTTGAGCCTGCTGTCTCAGGTGTGGATGCACCTTCCCGCCAGCAGTGTGTGAGTCCTGATTGCTTCCTGTCCACAACACCTGGCATTTGGCACGTCTTTGCCTTTCAGCCCTTCCAGGGAGTTATCATGATAGGGCCCTGTAGGTATGGGGTGTGTGTGTATGTGTGTGTGGGTGGGTGTGTGTTTCTTTTTCAAATCTTGTAGTGTCGGCCGGCGCGGCGGCTCACTAGGGTAATCCTCCGCCTGCAGTGCCGGCCCCCCAGGTTCTAGTCCCGGTTGGGGCACTGGATTCTGTTCCGGTTGCCCCTCTTCCAGTCCAGCTCTCTGCTATGGCCCGGGAAGGCAGTGGAGGATGGCCTGTGTTTGGGCCCTTCACCCGCATGGGAGACCAGGAGGAATCTCCTCGCTCCTGGCTTCAGATCGGTGCAGTGCGCTGGCTGTAGCAGCCATTTGGGGGGTGAAGGAAGACCTTTCTCTTTGTCATCCTCTCTCTCACTGTCTAACTCCGCCTGTCAAAAAAAAAAAAAGTTTCTAGGAAAACTGGAATTAAAATGTAAGTTTACTTTGATGCAAAAGTTTTGAAATCTATGCATCATTTCTTCCTTCTAAATGCTTTACCTGACCTTTTAGAAGCCTCCTTGTACACATGGCTTTCAAAAAGTCTTGCACCAACATAAATTGAGCTTTTACCCCAGTTTTCTGCCAATTTTTGCAGCCCCCTCAGACTTTCTCTCTACTCCTGATGTCTTTCACCAGCCGTGGGTTTTGTCTGTTCTGGAGCATCCTGTTGACGGAACAATACGTCATGTTGCTTCCAGAGCCTGTGGCTCAGCCATGCTTGCTGCTGCACAGAACCCTCGTGTGTTCCCTGTGATGGCTGAGCACCCTGCAGGACGTGAGCAGACCCGTGTTGGCAGCTGACAACCCCTTGCTACTCTGATGGCCATTTGCATGGTTTCCCGTGTTTGGCTGTGATGAGCAAAGGTGCTGTTATATGTGTTCTTGTCCCAGTCTGCCTGTGAATGCACATTTTCATTGTTCTGGGGGAAATGCACCTACCAGTAAAATAGCTGGGTTCTAGAGTAGGTGTAAGGTTTTTGAAGAACCTGCTAAACTGGTTTACAATGTGGTTGTACCATTTTATACTCTCTAAGGCGATGTTTGGGAATTCTGTTTTCTCCCCATCCTTGCCCACATTCGGGGCCATCAGTTGTTTTACAATAGCCATTGTATTGTGTAAGAGTATCCATGTGGTCTTTTTTTTTTAATTTATTTATTTATTTGAAAGAGTTATACAGAGAGAGGAGAGATAGAGGTAGAGGTAGAGAGAGAGAGAGAGGTCTTCCATCTGATGGT